CATTTTCACCGCGTTCAGTATCATAAAGTTCACTCCTCACGTTATTGCCGTCGCAATATCGGCCCCTTAAGTGTATATATAGGTACAATTTTCTATAGTGTATCGTGAAAACGTCATTATTTGAAAATAATCACCAACCCAGTCATTGACGGCGACGATTTCGAAAACCATTATCCCGGGGCGTCTACATCGACATCGTGGTGCATTTGAATTCATGCGGAGGCAGAGGTGATTTTTCCTGTCGTCTTCCTGCCAGGTGGAACGCTCGACAAGTCCAATTAGAAAGAACCCGCCGCTCTGAAGGTTCTTCGAGCTGGAATTATCGGCGCCAATTTGCTAAACGGCTACGTTTAATCCCAAGTTCACCAGCGATCCTTAAAGTTACACACATAGAGAAATATTTTGAAAAATTCATTTTCTCTTTTAACTTTTTTTTTGATTATAATTAATTAAATGCTAATGATCGTTATATGCGAAGTTACTTCGTTATCAAGCGATAATCACGAATATCTTGTCTTTAATTAATCCGTTTTCAGTAGAATTAATAATTACTGGGTAAGTAGCAGTTTTTTTTTCAATTTTAATTGATTTCAAATCTAAAAGTCTTAACTATTTTAATTTAAACCAGCGTAACATATCTTTTCGCGCCATCACCATTTCAAGTTTGGACTACAAACGAAGGGTTTTAAACGTGTTAATCAGTCAATTTAAACTCAGCGGGGAACCAAAAATAATTACCTCTATACTGACACATGTCTCCTTTCATTTATTAAACCTGAATAAATACGTATAACGCATAGCGGAAAAGAGAATGTTTTTCTCCTTTACGTGTGAAGAAACCACCCCATTGTTGAACGTGAATTGACCCCTATCAATTTCGTTGGATTTGGGACCGAACCGATAAGAGACACGTCATTAGTTAAAGACGAGAACATTGTTACCATAATTACAACCACCACCTTATCTAGTTCCTAAGGGGTAATTTTTTTTTTGATCTCCCCCCAAAAGAAAAGGCTATCTATATCCGTTATCGGAAAACTTGGAGATTTCATCCTTTATTTTTTTTTGCTATCTGATGATATAATTGCAAAAAAGGATAAGGAATGTTTCTAATTCTAGGTCTAGTGTTAGTTCTACTTTTCGTTCAATAAAAATATACCACGATCTAACGATGAATAACAATTAAAACTGGAACTAACATTACTCTCAAGACGGCTAAATCCGAATGATTCTAGTTTTTAGAGTCTAGTGTTGGTTCTAGTTTTGCACTCTGGCATTCTCAACCAACCTCACCACCTCTTAGAATAGAGCTGAACCTTCGTACAGGAGGTTACCTGATTACATCTAAATCTCCATATCTTTACCATTAAAGATACAGCTCAACTCAACAGTCGCTCGTAATTGCCACATAAATTCCAGTTCTCTTGGATGTCTTCTTGGATCAGTGATATTTTGTTTTTCGGCCATATCAAGGTAGGTACAATTTAAATTGAACTACCAAGAAGTACGTCGTTGCTATCCCTAGATACATCGCTTGTTTAGCGATATTTACCTCCAGGTTCATCTTTATAATATTAATTATATGTATTGAAAAAACCATATTTCCTTTAAAAGATGATACTTTATTTTTTAATTATCGGTGCTACAAATTTGTTTCGGTTATTAAACCGTCATCAGGCACCACTGTAATATTGAAAATTAAATTAATCTTTAAAATTACCTTATATTACTAATTGGTCTTACCGTCTAATTGTCAATAACAAGTTTTGATAATATAGGTGGAAGCTTTTTTAAACATCACTTGTGACTACCATCGTTGTGATGATGTCGATGACGCAGCTGTAAATTGATTTTGAGTAGTTGTGATCAAAATGGCTTGATGTAGAGTTGTGAGTATCATGAAACCAAAAGACATGACCACTTTCATTACAAAATTGTTAACCACATTGACCTTCTGTTCCGTCTTAACTATAATTCTATTACAAACCAGAAATATCACTACTATTATTATTGCGGTTGCTTAAGACTAGTGAAAAAATTATCGATCATTTCAAAAATTTATTTCTCAAAAACTAAAAGCGATTTTTTAAAACGGCTTGTTGCATTAAAAAGCGGATACTTTAATTAATAATTGGTGATATTTCCACAAGGATCCTTCAAGAAATTAATTTTATAGCGAATTTTGAAAATTATCGATGAAAATTGCAACATCGAAAATTTTATCAAAACTTCAAATATTGTTTTCTCAAAAACTAAAAGTTATTTTTTAAAACGGGTTGATTTATTGGAAAGAGGACACGTTTATTAATACTTTGGAAAATTTTCATACTTATATTCCAAGAAATGGATTTTATACGAATTTTTAAAACTTAATCGGCGAAAATTGTAAAATTCGAAAAGATTGTCGATCGTTTCAAAAATTTATTTCTCAAAAACTAAAAGTGATTCTTCAAAACGGCTTGTTGCATTAAAAAGAGGATACTTTAATTAATAATTGGTGATATTTCCACAAAGATCCTTCAAGAAATTAATTTTATAGCGATTTTTGAATATTATCGATGAAAATTGCAACATCGAAAATTTTATCAAAACTTCTAATATTGTTTTCTCAAAAACTAAAAGTTATTTTTCAAAACGGGTTGGTTTATTGGAAAAGGGACACTTTTATTAACACTTTGAGAAATTTTTATACTCATATTCCAAGAAATGGAATTTATACGAATTTTTAAAACTTAATCGGCGAAAATTGCAAAATTCGAAAAAATTGTCGATTATTTCAAAAATTTATTTCTCAAAAACTAAAAGCGATTTTTCAAAACAGCTTGTTGCATTAAAAAGAGGATACTTTAATTAATAATTGTTGATATTTCCATAAGGATCCTTCAAGAAATTAATTTTATAGCAAATTTTGAATATTATCAAAATTTATAATATAATATAAATAAATAAATATAATATTATTTAAACTAAAAGTTATTAATGGCCGGATATCCGTTCCACTACTTAAGACCATCTATTACCCATTTTAATAACTCAGTAACTTTAACATCAATACAGGGTGATTCTTAACTTATACGTATAAACTTGGGGATTTATTCCTCATGACAAATAATGACTAATTGGTGAAAAAAATTGTAGTAAAAATTTTTCAGTTTCTTAGATATCCTTGAAATTAACTTTCAAATTAAGAATACATAGAAATTACTTGAAACTACGATGGTGATAAACAATAGCAATTTCAAGCGACACACATATTCGACGAGGCTTAGGCAAAATGCAGGAGCAGTTAGACCTTTACACATTGTCAATGTCGAGAAAGAGATTTTGAATGTCGTCGAAGAGCAGCCTGCCTTAAGTACTAGAATTTTGGCGAATATTGAGGCACAATCAACTCCATCCATATCATATGCAACGTGTAGAAGTCCTACTACCAGTAGATCTCATTCCATTCTTGGAATGAATTGGCCCTTTCATTCTGGATAATCGATTAACTGGTGCTCATTATTTACAATTTTTGCACGATAATTTACCCAACCTCACTTCTCTGGATTTTTAAATGAGCAAGAATTGCGAAATCGGATACGTGGTGTTGAAGAGACAATCCACCAACACCATGGTTTAAGTCACGCTTGTGGAAGATCGTGGATTCGGCGAGTCCAATTGTGTATACAAGGTATGGGAAATAACTTCGATGTTATTTTTAAGTGTTTTATGTATTCTTCATTGAAAGTAAATTTCACGGATATCTAGGAAACTAAAAAACGTTTGCTACAATTTTTTTCACCTATTAGTCATTATTTGTCATGAGGAATAAATCTCCAAGTTTATGCGTATAGGTTGAGAATCACCCTGTATAACAATTTCTATTTTTTGAATCATCAATTTCTGCGTACAAAATGTAGCCAAAAATTTAGCCATGATAAAGATTCCAATTCTTCTTNGCCCTACTACCAGTAGATCTCATTCCATTCTTGGAATGAATTGGCCCTTTCATTCTGGATAATCGATTAACTGGTGCTCATTATTTACAATTTTTGCACGATAATTTACCCAACCTCACTTCTCTGGATTTTTAAATGAGCAAGAATTGCGAAATCGGATACGTGGTGTTGAAGAGACAATCCACCAACACCATGGTTTAAGTCACGCTTGTGGAAGATCGTGGATTCGGCGAGTCCAATTGTGTATACAAGGTATGGGAAATAACTTCGATGTTATTTTTAAGTGTTTTATGTATTCTTCATTGAAAGTAAATTTCACGGATATCTAGGAAACTAAAAAACGTTTGCTACAATTTTTTTCACCTATTAGTCATTATTTGTCATGAGGAATAAATCTCCAAGTTTATGCGTATAGGTTGAGAATCACCCTGTATAACAATTTCTATTTTTTGAATCATCAATTTCTGCGTACAAAATGTAGCCAAAAATTTAGCCATGATAAAGATTCCAATTCTTCTTATTTCAGTTATCGGAAAACTTGGAGATTTCATCCTTTATTTGTTTTTGCTATCTTAAGACATAATAGCAAAAAAGGACAAGTATGCGACAACGACGACGCCTACGCGGCGATCTACGCGCCACCTGCAGTTATAGGAAAAACTAGTTGGCGACTAGGGATTTCCGCCGCCTCCTAGAAAAATGCGCAAGAGCGCGTGCTTCGCCCGTAGGCGCCACCTGCTGGGCCGGCTGCTCGAAGGACGATCCTCCTGCTACCTCGATCTTACTGCCACCTGGCGGCGTGCCGCGTATCTATCAGTATCTATGCACTTCGCGCTTTCTTATTCTATTAAATATTCTAATCGCGAAAAACGAACCGCTTACTATTACGTAAACAGGACGAATGGTGGTGTTACGATATATCCTGTGGCAGATGTTTTCTACATATTCTCTTAAACGTTGACATCTGCCTAGAAATAAAACAAATTTAACACTTTTTCAATACATAAATTTATTAAAGAACATCATTTTAATTGTTTAATTTTCCTTATAGAAGAAATTATTAAAGCAGAAAGAATTATTTTATTATCAATATTCTACTTCTTCTTCCTTCTGTATTTAGGCATAACTTGTTTTTCATCCATCTTTTTCTAAGTCTTCCAACGCTTTTCCGTCCTGATGATGATTTTCACAATTCTTTTCTTCTGTCATTCGGTCGATGTGCTTCTACTACTTCCACTTTCTGTCCAATACCCAATCATTGATGTTACCTATCCTGCAAGCCTGTCTGATGTTCTCACTTCTTTCTCTGTCCATCAATGTTCTGCCAAGTATTCTACTCACTTTCTTTTTGTTTTGGATGTTTCTGGTCCAGTCTCTGCTGCATACATATATTAAAATAGGGCTAAATGCGGCCTTGTATATCCGCTTTGGCTTCAGTTCTAATATGTTTATTTCGCCTTATTGTGTCATTGATGCCCAAATATTTGAATTTCATTTTTTGATATATGATTTTATCATCGATCACAATCTGATGGGTGTTTTGGAGGTAGTCATTTTGTTTTTGCCGCTGATACAGTCATGTTAAATTATTTTGGTGTTTTATTAAACTGGAGCAGTAAATTTTGGAGACCAACCTCGTTTTCCGCGACCAGCACCGCAACCTCTGCGTAGCACAGGATGTTAATCACCTTATTTCCCATCTTGTATCCTTTTAGTTTGCGCACTTCCTTTATAATTTCATCCATTACGATATTAAACAGAAACGGGCTCAGAGAGTCTCCTTATTGTCGGATGCCCTTATTACTTATTTATTTTTATGCCTTTATTATTTAAATTATCAATGTTCAATACAATTAATTAGCATTATTCATGGAAGAAAAAACAATTTGTGTCTAAAATTCTTTTATACATGCTCTCAAAATATAAACTCCTACACCTTACTACTTTGTTGCAAAGGTAAGGTGGCTTATAAGGATGGATTATAAGATTCTCTGCATGTTCAACCATTTTAATTCTGGCAGCTTATCACTTAAATGATCCCTCTGGTGAAGACCAAATAATAAGCGTATACAGGAATTTTGCATTTTTTTGAATTTTATCTTTTAAGACATAGGACAAAAAAGGGGAGTACAGAACATCTGCATAGTTAAAAAGTGACATCACCAGACTTTTACAGAGACATTTCCTTGTATTACATAAATGCATCTTCACACTTATATGACAGTCTTAAATTTGATCCCTCTTTGTTAGAGGAAGTTTCTCTTTTGTTATTGATAATATCTTTTGTGTTCCATACTTGTCGACCTTATAACAATATAAACCTTGAACAAAGGCTACATCTGCTTTTAAACAAATAAAGGCAGATAAAACAGAGAGATATAAAACTTGCACCATTGCATACTTTTCTGACTATTATCCGGTGAATAGTGCGAAAAGTAGATATCTCCAGTTGTGAGAGAGAGATGGTGAGTTGAAAGATGTAGACTTCTCTTCCTGTGCATTTTCTGACTCAGTGTTTCAATTTTTATTGCTGTCCCTGATAACCGATACATGCAGGAATAGATAATTTTCTTTGCCCTTTTCTTTCTCCATGCTGTATTTGATCATTTACTGCTAACTTGACTTATCTTGAATTTCCAGAAATTATTAAGACCACCATATAGTAGGTAACAATGATCAGTGGTCCAGAGTAGCTCTCTTATTTCGGTCGTAAAACTTGCTTTTTCAACTGTAGAAATTCCACTTCAACGTTGACTAATACAATCTGTAAACCAAGAAAGACACCGTTTAATTTTACACAAAGTATGGAATTTCTGACATTTAAGTGTACATTTTTAGTAAAAAGCATCAAACATCATCGCAAACTGAGCAGTATGGGGAGTAGCTCCTAATCAATTAGATTTCACAATTGGCACAAACTTAAATAATATAACGCAATAGACAATCTGGGTAGATTTCCTCCAGACGGACTTCTTCAGGGGTTTTGAATGTTGACAAGATGTAAACATCTCATCGTATTTTCTGAGTTGGTGGTAGCTTGGCATCCCATTGGATATCCACAGAGAATACCTAACCTGAGAAACGTTCATTTATTAACAGATAGAGTTTTGTGGAAATTGTAGAGATGATCAGAGATTTGATACCAGAACAGTTTCTAAACGACAGAATTTGCTATGGAAATTCTTCATAAAGTAAGTATTTGTGGGTACTATGCTGGCATTCTCAGTCAACCTCGCCACCACTTGGAATACAGCTGAACTTTTCTGCAGGAGGTAAACTGATGATATCTTAATCTCCATATCTTTACCATTAATGATAAAGCGCAACCTAAGAGTCACACATAATTGGCATGTAAATTCCAGTTCTTAAGAGATCTGGAAAGATAAGTCTTTCCATTACGTGAGGAACTAAAAATAGAAAAACTTAAGTCATTTAATAATAAAAAGTTCTTGGATCAGTGAAATTTTGTTTTCATATCAAGCTGTACCTTTAAATTAAAGTACCAAGATGTACATCGTCGCTATCCCCAGATACATCATTTATGAGTACCATCATTGTGAGGATATGGGTGAGGAGTTAATTTTGAGTAGTTGCGAGCAAAATGGAGTTATCTTAGATCTCGCTTCATGTAGAGTTGTTAGTATCATGAGTTAGTGTTAGGACCATGAAGCCAAAAGACATGACCATGTTCATAAGCAAATTATTAACCATATTAACTTCCTCTTCCACCTTAACCATAATTCTTCTTACACCTTCTTCTATCCTGTGTTCTCTATACTTTTATCCTTTTATTTCTGGAACTGTCTCAAAAGTTCCTTCTCTTTCTAGCCCAACATCAGCAACTTCATCATGTTGATTAGGAACATCTTGCGTTTCAACTTGTGCCACAATTGCAATTTCAGTTTGCACTCCCCAAAACTTTTCATATCTTTATCTTGAGATTTTTCAACTGATTTGCTTTCTCTTGCTATTATCTTATGAATGGCTTTTCTGCAAGAGATTATTTAGATATTATTGCAAATACTTTTTCAATTCTTTTGTCACCATATTTCTTTTTGGAATTAGGTTCATCTTCTGCCTTTAAACCTGAAATCAGATTTAATTATTGCTATTTGATTTCTATGGGTAAATTTAAACGGACAATTAATCTGATGAGCTACCCTACATTAAAATCATCCTATATCCGTAATAAATCAATCCCTCATTTAACCCCATCACATAACTTGATATCCATAACGGTATTTCAATTGTAAAAAGGAAAAAAAAAGTACCAACATTGTTATAGTTTGGTGCATTACCATAGTACCGTTTACCATAAAATTTTAGATCGTAAAACGAAAGTTCTGGCGGTAAATACGTACGCGAAAAGTTAAGAAGACTCTGCGACGATCCATTGTTGTGCCCCATTTTAATGGGCCGTAAAATCGGTGTTAAAGAAAACATGCTGCGTTTAAAAAGCGCCGTAAGCTGTATGGGGTGCGATAATTTGCATAGAATATGGGCGACCGCCTAAACCAGATTTTGTTCTTTTTTTTATTACTTTGAAAAAAGGCTTTAAAAAAAGTAATCCTTTTTTAATCCTTTTAAAAGGCAAATTGAATTAATAAAATTACTTTATTTATTTATATTTATAATTATAAATTTTAATTTCTAGATTAGTGCCATCTATTAGTACAGACACTAAGTTGAAGTTTTGACAGATTTTTACAGAATACTGCATTTTAGTTTAGTTTAAGTTATCTCCTCCAGTACACGGTAGGATTGAAATTAAATACGAATAAAGGTTTAATTAGTAATAATCCATTAATTATTAATTATTATTCGCAACATTATAGATTTCCTTTATAAATCATTTAATAATAAACTAATAAGGAAATTTTTTTTGAATATTTAAACAGCAAGTTGACAGTTATGATACTATGTTTTAGTTTTAGTACAGTTTTGATAAAATTTTTTAAGTAAATTGCAGGTTTATAACCATGTCGAGCACTTTCAGTGAAAAAGGTATGTAATTTAGATTTAAGAGTACTAGATAGCCTAGAATAAGTAATCAATGTTGTAGAATTCGAAGAATTCTTTCAATTAGCAAAACAAGATGTATCATCTAATTTAAAGGATGCAAAGCATGAAGAAGCAAACCCTACTTGTAGCAAAATCGATTCAGATGAGTTCAATAAACTTATTAGAAATGAATTACTCCAATCAAATGATAGACCAACATCTACTGATGATGTTAATAAGAATAAACTAAAACAAGATAGGTTCACTGATTCTTTTGAAGCTCTAATTACTCAAAAAAAATGTAATGCTCAATGTGCTAATTTCAACGAATTTATTAAGCTAATTCAATCTGAGTTAATAGAAGTAAAAGAAAAGAACATAAATGTTCGTTCTAATTTAAAGCAAATTAAAGAATTCTTTGAATCTCTCACTGATTCATCAAAAAATGATTCTAAAGATTTATCTGTAGGTAAAAGCGATTCATCAAAAATTCGTTCGTCCAGTTCCGTTTTGGATGAATTTGAGGAGTTTCTTGAGTCTCTAAATAATGCTGATTCTATAAAAAAAGATAATAACTGTAAAGATGTACCTGGTGGAACCGAAAAAAAGTCTAATTTAAATGAAATTGAGGTGGATTTGAAGAATATAAATGATTCCTTAAAAGGAGATGATACCAAAAAAGATTTATCTCCAGTAACATCAAAAAATATTAATCTATGTACTAATTTAAATCAATTTGAAGAGTTTTTTAAATCTCTCAAGCAAAGTGATTCCTCAAAAAATGAGGATTTTATAGATTTACGTCAAAATGATGAAATTAATCAAAATGATTCTTCAAAAAATGATGATTTAGAAAAAGATGGTGAAAAAATAGAGTTATCTCAAGTAAACAAAAATGATGTAAATGATTACTTTGTGCTTGAAATTAATTCATCCATAGATGATGAGAATAATCCTATTTTAAATGATTTCGACGAGTTTATTGAATGTTTGAATGAAAGTGATTCCCAAAAAGGAGATGATAATCACCCTAAAGATTTATCTGAAGTAAAAGAACAAGATATAAATGCATGTGAATCTTTTGATCATTTTGAAGCACTTTTTGAATTATTCCTTGAAATTGATCCCCCAAAAAATGATAATAATCCAAAAGATTCATCTCCAGAAAAAGATATAAACGATTTTTTAGTGTTAAAAGAAGACTCGTTAAAAATAAATGATGAGAATAACCCCATTTTAAATCAATTTGAAGAGCTTGTTAAGTCCCTAAATAAAAGCGATTCTTCAAATAACAAGAACGATCAATCTCAAGATTTAAATGAATTTTTTGTGCTTGAATCAGATTCGGAAAAAATTAATGATGAGAATTACTTCATTTTAAACCAATTTGACGCGTTTCTTGAGACTCTCGTTGAAACTGACGCTTTAAAAAACGATAATGATAACACCAATGATCAATTAAAAGATATTTCAAACTCAAATGAAACGCGTGGAGAGATTAATGGATTATTAAATTTATTTGTAAATGATAATATTTCTTCGTCGTTTTATTCAAATAATAGTGAAGAAATAATCGATGATGTCGAGTTTAATTCTTTACTAAATAATACAACAACAAACGTTGAAAAGATTAATAATGACAAAGAACTCAAAGAAGAAATTCATGAAAGAGGTGAAACCACAAAAATATCTAAGAGTATCGATAAAAGCGTTAAATCTAGCAATAAAGAAAGTTGTGAGAAAAAACCTAAAAAAATAAGGAAAAGAAAACTTTGTGGATGTAATAAACACGTTGATAATATTGAAAATGTTCCCCATGATAAAAAAAAGAAAAGTAATGATTCACCAAATCTACACTCATTATCCACAAATAATTTTAAAAAAAATCACAAAAATAACGAAAATATTTCAAAAAATTCAATGAATATCATAAAAAATAGATTTAATAAACTTGAAAATTTAATTAGAAGAAAAATAATTGATATTCAAGACTATCAAAGAAAAGCTGTTTTAAAAATAAATTATAATAATCAAAACGACACTTTTACTGAACAATATTTTAACGCTATAAATTCTGAGGATTTACTTAAACAATTAGAAGAATCTCAAATGTTATTAAGCCAAGAACCTGTGGTGTTTTCGCCGAAATTAGTTAAGCAATCCTCGATGATGTTTAATAAAGAAGTGGATGAAGTCGAAGATATACATGGTTTGAATGAAGCTTTGCGAGCTATAAATGATGATAAAACGTTATGTTGCGATAAGAATCATTATGAATTCGTCGTTCCTTCAGATGTTAAAGATAGAAACATTATGGAAAAAATATTGGAAATATATCGAAATATTTTGATTGATGTTGAAAATAATAAACTACCTGCTTTTGTAGTTGTAAATACTAGAATTTGGCCAAATGTAGATGTTCAGGATAATAGGTAAGTTATTTTTAATAAGTGGAAAGATAGTTGTAGATTTCAGCAATAAAAAAAATAAAATTAATGGTGATTAAATAAGTTTATGAATCATCTAATTCAGTTTATGAAATTCGGCGCAAATTTCTGAGTACCCTGGAGAAGTTTTAAAAAAGTTTTCAATGATTATGTAAGCTATGGCTCCTAGTTGTGCAAGCTCAGAGAAGATTTGGCCTGCTTTGAGCGTAATTTCGAAAAATTAGTTCTATTATGAAGAGGTGCATGTACCAACATTTTTGAAATAAACTGAAATAACGCAAAAATGGTGCAATCTAGACATATATTATGATGACTTATATCAAGGAATGGAGCAAACTTTTTCAATAATAAGTTTAGGTTATAATAAGCTAAGTTTAGTTATAATTTATCTTGCATGTTATCAAAATCGTTTGTAGATGTTTACATACACTATGTAATTTTTTTCATATATTGTCCTGATACCAAATAAGTTCACGAGGGAGTTGACTAAGTTAGTTAACGTGCATCCTGATCGCATTCCTTGCTTGCACGATATTATTACGGGTGTTTGTATTCGGTGTTCCAAATTCGTTATCCTCCTATGGCTATCTTCGGAACTAAAAGAGATAGAGAAAAAGTAGCTTAAATGTCATAATCTGGTTTTTCGAGAAACTGCTAATGCCGGAAACTCCAAACAGCTATCGTCTTTTGTGTTCATCCTATCGGCAAAAACTGAAAAATTTGCGGAAACAGGCGGAAACAAAACTAACCTATCCTAACATGCCTTCACGCTACAATTGGGGTTTCTGCACACTATAATCGGGGTTCCAAAAGAAATCTGACCTATCCTAACATTCCTTCACGCGATAATTGAGGTTTCAAAAGAAAACTGACCTATCTCAACATCCCTTCATGCTATAATTGAGGTTTCAAAAGAAAAGTAACCTATTCTAACATTCGTTCACGCTATAATTGTGGTTTCAAAAGAAAACTGACCTATCCTAACATTACCCAATATTTTTGTCTGAGTTGATTGACATTTATAAACAAAACTAACTTAACTCAACTTTTCTTTTCTGGAAGTCATTGCTTATTTTTTTTTAATCGTACTACGTTAAAATACATTCTTTGATATTTTTCAGAAAAAAATAACTAACGTATAATTTTAGACCATACCCAAACGATGAGAAAAATATTCTAACTGCGCCACTACATTCTTCGTAAAAAGTACAATATTTTAATTATAACACTCTATCTTTGGTAATAAGTGAGATATTCGCGTTTGCCGTTTTCGCAAATTTTTCAGTTTTTGCCGATAGGATGAAAACAGAAGACGATAGCTGCACTGAGAGAAATAGATTGTACGAATCGTATTATAGAAAAAATATTATATATACAGCAATTCATTCTATTATATTCATTATATTTATTGTACTGAATACAATCTCGTCTCGCTGTCACTATTCGTAGTAAACGTATTATACCTTATAGTATATTTTTAGTGCATAGTATAATCCATTTCTCTCAGTGTGTTCCAAGTTTTTGGCATTAGCAGTTTCTCGAAAAACGAGATCATGACGTGTAAGCAACTTTTTTTCTTATCGTTTTTAGTTTCAGATATAGCCTAGAGGACAACGAATTTGGGAATCCCTGTACTCCTTATCGCTAGTACACAATTAGCAACTTAGTCAATATACTAAGGTTGGGTTGGTCTTCCATAGATATAATAATCTATTGTGTATTACAGAAATTTTATAAATTTATAGATATTCCACCAGTAGTTCATTATTTAGACAATAGCATAGTTCACATGGTTGAGAATCATTTTAAAGATGTTTGTCAAAACAGTATGAAGCACGCTACGCAGTTATAGAATTCTCAAAATATTCAAAAATGAACTATCAATTGGGCTTTCGCTTTTACTTTTTCAGAAATAAATTTTTGAAATGATCGACTATTTTTTTGAATTTTGCAATTTTGGCCGATTAAGTTTTAAAAATTCGTATAAAATCCATTTCTTGGAATATGAGTATGAAAATGTCCCAAAGTGTTAATGAAAGTGTCCTCTTTCCAATGAACCAACCGTTTTGAAACATAATTTTTAGTTTTTGAGAAAACAGAGAGAAATAAATCGTTATTACAGCTATCGACCTAATGGTCTTTGGACCGCTGGCTATAATTACAACAAAGAATTTAACAATATTATTAATTATCAGATGAAAAAAGTTCGAATATTGTCTTCCTCTGATCAACTTCCATCTGTGCAGCTTGTCTCTTTAAACATAATTTATGTAATTTTTCATAATTGTTTCTGTTGTCTAATAATTTCTTCCCTAATCTGTCTAGTCTTAGTCTTATAGGTTCAATACCAGTTATTTCGTATAAGATCTCGTTTCTTACGTTGTGCAATGGGTTGTTTGGGTGTCTAATCTTAGAGATAATCCTCAAGCATTTTCTTTCCGCTTTGTCAATTATGTCTCTCGTTTTTCTGTATGGATACATTAATACAATATTACTTGGTTATGCGTTTTACTTTGATCCAAAAAGGCCTTTGTCGCCTTTTATCTCTGCACAAACTTCAAGCCATTTCTTCAATTCATAATCTTTGACCAACACTGTATCTCTTTATTTAATTGATTGAGATATTGTTTCAACAAATCGTCCTTAGTACGTGCGTATTTTCTGTAACATCTACGTTAATTTTATTTAAAATGTGCCTGGGAAGCACATTTTTAAAGATAGTCCATATTTGAACTATAAAACTTTCTAAATCTTTATTCAACTCTTCTACATTTGTTCTTCTAATATCGTATTTGATGTTTTTCGTAGTTTCTAATGGTAGAATATTACTAAGAATAGAGAATGTAATCTCTAAGTGATCAGAACCCAAATCTCCGGTTATTTCAACTTGTTCAATAATGTTTTTTAAATTACTTGTATGTAGAATCACATCTGGAGTTGTATCATTATTCTCTGACATTATAAGAGTAGGTTCAGTATGTGTTTTAATGAAATTAGATGATTCAATAAAGCTATTCATTTGTTTCTACTTTCTTTTGTTGAAGTTTAAGAAAACAATATTTGAAGTTTTGATAAAATTCGCTATAAAATTCATTTCTTAAAGGATCCTTGTGGAAATATCACCAATTATTAATTAAAGTATTTTCTTTTTAGAACTGCATCGTTAGTTAAATCAGCATAAAAAAGTTCATTTTGTATCTTGGATCCAAATAAGTTGACATATCTTAACAGCTTTGCCGGATAACCGGATATCCGGCCGAAGGGGATGCCGAATATCCGGTTTTTCGTGACATCACTATCCGTTCCATCACTAGTAGAAATGTTCAATGATTACAACAAACTTTACCGCAACTTTTTTAATCGAGCGGTTGCGAAGATATCTCTTTTGGCACGAATAGTAACATTTTTATAAATTATGATTAACATTAACTGTTAATTTCCTCATTAACACTGTAAATTATGATTTGTCATTTTGCACATTTATTACAAACCAATAAATGTATGAAATAATTTCATAAATCAAATCCCAGTTAGGCTCCGCTCTTAATAATGTTATTGTTAAGTACAATAAATATAAAGTAAATCATAAATAACAAGAATTAACAACAATTAACATAACAACAACTAGAAATAAAAAAGAAACCAAGAAAACGACGCCGAACAAGAAATGTTATTGAATTACGTAATATGGATTCTTGGAAACGAAATCAACATGTGCTTCCCCGAGCTTTTGCTGTGTAACAATAAACATGTGCTGGGACGGACTCTGCCCAAAGTGATTTTTAGTAAATATTAATTATTTCTATTTTCAACTTAATTAACACATTTAAGGTTAAATCATGCTTTTTTGGATACTTATATATATATTTTTTTAATTTAGTAACTACTTACTCTGAAATATCTCCAATTTCTGACTAATTTTTCCATTTAATTTTTCTATATACATATCTTAACATGTCTAATACTTAATTAATAGCAATTAGTATCTTCTTTATTTCACCAAATTTGATACTCGAGATCCTTTCTTATTATGTTCACAAAGAGAAGATTTCTCTGTTAATTCTTAAATAGAATACATTCTTTGATAATTACCTGATATGTGATAATTATCTTTAATAATTAGAACCACTACGTTTCACTTAAAACGAACAAATTTCTAAAACACATCCGAACAATGAAAGTTGGTTTCTTCCAGTTGCATCACATCGAGCAAATGCATCTTCTCATCGCTGAGACGAACGTTGGAGATTTTAACGGTTTGCGTCGCGACGTGTTGTCCCGCCAATGACGTAATTCTTTATACATTGTGTTATTTATTAACTTCCTTAGTTGCTTTTAATAATTTTATTCAATAAAAAAATTGGTTTATTCCAATATTTTTTTAAAAAAGCACTTCATGCAATTTAAAAGTGTTACATCACATCAAGCAAATGTAATTTTTTTCTTAACATTGAAGACTGCAACGGTTTTCGTCGCGACGTATTGTCCCGCCAATGACGTAATTCTTTACACATTGTATTTAAAGCGTGCTTTTTTAGTCTATTTTGTTAATTTTTTTCAATAAAAAGGCAAAATGATAAATTAATTATTAAATGATTTATAACAATAAATTTTATTTTGAATAGCTGAAATCTATAAATATCTTCCCCCACATAAAATTAATTTTAATTAATTACAATTTATTTATTATTAACCAAAACAAGATTAATGATATCTAACAATCCAAAAATGCGAACAATAAAATCAATGGGAACATCGGCTTACATATTCGACAACATAATATGGGTTTTAAACAAAATTATCGATTTAATTCGCATGAATTTCACGATGACAAAAAGAGAATTATATTATCAAATGAAAGAAGATTACAACGATTTAAGGATGCATCAAATCGATTCATATTTGTCGGTTATAAGTGCATTAGTCGATTATGGCCCATGGGATTATCATGTTGTCGCTGCGACCAAAGGATTGGTTTATGGTGATTTAACTATAGAATTATCAACCGGTGATATTATAATGTGTGATAAAAAAGGCGGTATTTAATAAAAATTTTAACTATGTAATTTTGCATGGAAAAATATAAATATTTTTTTAGGCGTTGTAATTCCAAAATTCGTCGATAAAATAATTAAGGTCCATTGTAACGCTTCTTTTATCTTGGTCGTTGAAAAAGATGCTGTGTTTCAAGAAATTGTAAATAGAAATGTTTCGAAAGAATTAGGATTTAGAATCATAGTTATTACGGTGAGATAATTTAATTTGTTGCTATAAATAACCCCATTTAATATTTTTTATTTGATTTTAGGCGAAAGGGTATCCTGATATGAACACAAGATTATTTTTGAAAAAACTTTGGACTATAACTTCGATTCCTGCTTTTGCATTAGTCGATTGTGATCCATATGGAATTGAAATAATGTTACGTTATCGATTTGGATCATTGGTAAAATTAATTATACTTTTATTTTTTATAATAAATAATATTTTTAGGCACAAGTACATCTTGCACATCACTTAGCTTTACCTCAACTAAAATGGTTGGGGATATTTCCATCGGAAATTGCTAATTTTGGACTTGTCAATGAAAAAATAAAGGATATCGAGGGGCGAAAAATTACATATATGTTAAATTTGCCTTATATTGACTCCAATCCTAATTTAAAACATGAATTAGAGATTTTATTAGAAAAAGGCTACAAGTGCAATATCGAAACAGTTCTTAAACACCCATCATTTTTCTTTAACACATATTTACCATATAAAATACGTACAAATTCTTTTATATAATTTGTAAAAAAAAAACTTTTATGTTTATTAAATTATTTATAATAATTTATTCGTTTAAATAAAAAAAGCGCTTTCAAGTTTACCAAGTTACAAGATTTCCTTTTACACAAATCAATTTAAAAAATAAATAAATTGCTACCCACAAAAATTTTAAACTCCATTTTTCGTCTTATTCATATTGAGATACTTTTAAGGATTTCATATCTTCATCAAGATTCGAAGTTCCATCGTTTTCTTTTTTAACTTCATCCGTTGTTAAATCAATGTAATTTTCTATTTTATTAAAATTTCCTATCGGAAATGTTCGTTTTAATTTCCAAACGTCGTCGAAACTTTCTGAATCAGTTTCGATACTCGTCGATCGTTTTGATCGAACTTGTAAATCAGAAGAATTGAGATGTGATGTACTCCTACTTTTCTTTCTAGATAATTTTTCGTAAAAATCTTGTGAAAACACACAAAGTTCATCTGATGGGCATGAAAATAAATTCAGCGGTTTTGGTGGATAAATCGTTAAAATCGCTTTACTTTTCGACGATATATTGTTATCTCCAGTTGAAGAAGAACCACGATCAATACCAGTTGTTGCAAATAAATCCGTTTCACTTTGCGTTAAATCAATAACCGAATCAAAACTGCTCATTGACTTTTGATAATCTTTTTTAATAATTTGGAAAGTATTTGGAAGAGAAATTGAGCCGCTTGGTAATTGTGTAGCTTTTGAAATGCATTTGATTACTTCTAAAATACCTTCACTAGAAAATGTGTTCGTTTTTAATGAAGATTTCGAGGTTTTCCGTTTTTTTCGTTCTGTTATATTCCGTTTGGATATTTGTTGAGTTGTTTTTGTGTATCTACGAGGATTTGTGTGGGGTTTAAATGAATAACATCTTGGTCTCTGTTTCTGAAATGATAATAAGTTACAATTAAATTAATCTCAATTAAAGTATTAAATTACCATTGTATTCATAGCTGAAGATTGTAAGCAACAAAAAATCCAGATTTTTTATTTACGTTTGACGTAAATTTTGTCAAAACAATTATTACTGTGATGTTTAATATTGATATTATTAATTATTTGACATTTATTCATGGATCTTGCGATTCATCAATCAAGATACATAAAATGTGTACTGTTAATATTAAAAGATGACATGATTTTATTTTAACAATTTAGTGTGTAGGAACAATAATTATCTATATTAATTAATTGCTGAAACTAAAACCCTTCTTGTGCCAGGCAGTATCCCAAACGATTGATAAATTTTTTCTGGGCCGTGATAATTTTTCAGGTGATCCCATAAAAAATAATCCATAAGATTGAGATCGGGGGACCTTGGCGATTACTCAATTGATCCTTGCCTTCCAATCCATCTGTTCGGAAATGCTACTTCATCGAGATATTGCCTAACCACTACATGATGTGGTATCACAACATCTTGTATTGACCATAAATTTTCGTCATGTAACATTGGGTCATTAACACTGGGAAATGAATTTCTTAAATTGGGTGTTTTCAAAAAAGTAATAAAAAAGTAAAGCAGACAGATTATGCTATTTATTAATGCAAGTATTCGATTTTGATACGTAGAAGATTATGGGTTAGTTTGCAGAAAATGCAGACATCTAGAATAGATCTCTGGTGTGAATTTTGCTTCTTTGGTGCAAAATGAACAATTTTCATGTGCAACATTTTTCTCCATCGATTATAATTTTTGAGTTACCACAAATTTATTAATGTAAGTGTTCGATTTTGACATTTAGAAGATTAAGGGTTGGTTTCCAGAAAATGCAGACATCTAGAATACATATTTTTTATGGATTATCCTTTTTTGGTTCAAAATGAATAATTTTAGTATGCAACATTGTTCTCCATCGGTTATAATTTTTGAGTAGTGTCAGATTTATTAACGTAAGTATTCGATTTTAATACTTAGAAGATTATGGATTAGTTTCCAGAAAATGCAGACATCTAGAAAACATCTTTCTTATGAATTATCCTTTCTTGGTTCAAAATGAAGAATTTTCAAATGCAATATTTTTCTCCATCGATTATAATTTTTGAGTTATCACAAATTTATTAATATGAAGTGTTCGATTTTAACATTTAGAAAATTAAGGGTTGGTTTCCAGAAAGTGCAGACATCTAGAATACATCTTTTCTATGGATTATCCTTTTTTGGTTCAAAATGAACAATTTCATGTGCAACATTATTCTCCATCGTTCATAATTTTTGTGTTATCACAAATTTAGTAATTAAGAGTTCGATTTTGACATTTAGAAGATTAAAGGTTGGTTTCCAGAAAACGCAGACATCTAGAATACATCTTTTTTATGAATTATCCTTCTTTGGGTCAAAATGAACAATTTCAATGTGCAATATTATTCTCCATCGATTATAATTTTTGAGTTACCACAAATTTATTAATGTAAGTGTTCGATTTTGACATTTAGAAGATTAAGTGTTGGTTTCCAAAAAATGTAGACATCTAGAATATATTTTTTTCATGAATTATCCTTTTTTGATTTAAAATGAATAATTTTCATTTGCAATATTATTCTCCATCGATTATAATTTTTGAGATGTCACAAATTTATTAATGTAAGTGTTCGATTTTGACATTTAGAAGATTAAGGGTTGGTTTCCAGAAAATGCAGACATCTAGAATACATCTTCTTTATGGATTATCCTTTTTTGGTTCAAAATGAACAATTTTAGTATGCAACATTTTTCTCCATCGATCATAATTTTTGAGTTATCGCAAATTTAGTAATTAAGTGTTCCATTTTAACATTTAGAAGATTAAGGGTTGGTTTCCAGAAAATACAGACATCTAGAATACATCTTTTTTATGGATTATCTTTTTTTGGTTCAAAATGACCAATTTTCATGTGCAACATTTTTCTCCATCGATTATAATTTTTGAGTTATTACAAATTTATTAATGTGAAGTGTTCGATTTTAACATTTAGAAGATTAAGAGTTGGTTTCCAGAAAATGCAGACATCTAGAATACATCTTCTTTATGGATTATCCTTTTTTGGTTCAAAATGAACAATTTTAGTATGCAACATGTTTCTCCATCGATTATAATTTTTGTGTTATCACAAATTTGGTAATTAAGAGTTCGATTTTGACATTTAGAAGATTAAGGGTTGGTTTCCAGAAAATGCAGATATCTAGAATACATCTCTTTTATGAATTATCCTTTATTTGGTTCAAACTGAACAATTTTGGTGTGCAACATTTTTCTTTGTTGATCATAATTTTTGAAAAGAGAGATTTATTAATGTAAGTGTTCAATTTTCATACGTAGAAGATTATGGGTTAGTTTCCAGAAAATGCAGACATCTAGAATACATCTTTTTTATGGATTATCGCTTTTTGGTTCAAAATGAACAATTTTAGTATGCAACATTTTTCTCCATCGATTATAATTTTATAGTTGTGGCAAATTTATTAATATAAGTGTTCGATTTTAACATTTAGAAGATTAAGGGTTGGTTTCCAGAAAATGCAGACATCTAGAATACATCTTCTTTATGGATTATCCTTTTTTGGTGCAAAGTGACCAATTTTCATGTGCAACATTTTTCTCCATCGATTATAATTTTTGAGTTATCACAAATTTAGTAATTAAACGTTCGATTTTGACATTTAGAAGATTAAGGGTTGGTTTCCAGAAAATACAGACATCTAGAATACATCTTTTTTATGGATTATCGCTTTTTGGTTCAAAATGAACAATTTTAGAATGCAACATTTTTCTCCATCGATTATAATTTTTGAGTTATCACAAATTTAGTATTTAAGTGGTTGATTTTGGCTTTTAGAAGATTAAGGGTTGGTTTCCAGAAAATGCAGATATCTAGAATACATCTCTTTTATGAATTATCCTTTATTTGGTTCAAAATGAACAATTTTGGTGTGCAACATTTTTCTTTGTTGATCATAATTTTTGAAAAGAGAGATTTATTAATGTAAGTGTTCAATTTTCATACTTAGAAGATTATGGGTTAGTTTCCAGAAAATGCAGACATCTAGAATACATCTTTTTTATGGATTATCCTTTTTTGGTTCAAAATGACCAATTTTCATGTGCAACATTTTTCTCCATCGATTATAATTTTTAAGTTGTCACAAATTTAGTAATTAAGTGTTCGATTTTGACATTTAGAAGATTATGGGTTAGTTTCCAGAAAATGCAGACATCTAGAATATATATTCTTTATGGATTATCCTTTTTTGGTTCAAAATGAACAATTTTAGTATGCAACATGTTTCTCCATCGATTATAATTTTTGTGTTATCACAAATTTGGTAATTAAGAGTTCGATTTTGACATTTAGAAGATTAAGGGTTGGTTTCCAGAAAATGCAGATATCTAGAATACATCTCTTTTATGAATTATCCTTTATTTGGTTCAAACTGAACAATTTTGGTGTGCAACATTTTTCTTTGTTGATCATAATTTTTGAAAAGAGAGATTTATTAATGTAAGTGTTCAATTTTCATACGTAGAAGATTATGGGTTAGTTTCCAGAAAATGCAGACATCTAGAATACATCTTTTTTATGGATTATCCTTTTTTGATTCAAAATGAACAATTTTAGTATGCAACATTTTTCTCCATCGATTATAATTTTATAGTTGTGACAAATTTATTAATATAAGTGTTCGATTTTGACATTTAGAAGATTAAGGGTGGGTTTCTAGAAAATGTAGACATCTACAATACATCCTTTTTATGGATTATCCTTTTTTGGTTCAAAATGACCAATTTTCATGTGCAACATTTTTCTCCATCGATTATAATTTTTGAGTTATCCCAAATTTAGTAACTAAGTGTTCCATTTTGACATTTAGAAGATTAAGGGTGGGTTTCTAGAAAATGTAGACATCTACAATACATCCTTTTTATGGATTATCCTTTCTTGGTTCAAAATGAACAATTTTCATGTGCAACATTTTTCTCCATCGATTATAATTTTTGAGTTATCACAAATTTAGTATTTAAGTGTTTGATTTTGATTTTTAGAAAATTAAGGGTTGGTTTCCAGAAAATTCAGTCATCTAGAATACATCTCTTTTATGAATTATCCTTTATTTGGTTCAAAATGAACAATTTTGGTGTGCAACATTTTTCGTTGTTGATCATAATTTTTGAAAAGAGAGATTTATTAATGTAAGTGTTCAATTTTCATACTTAGAAGATTATGGGTTAGTTTCCAGAAAATGCAGACATCTAGAATACATCTTTTTTATGGATTATCCTTTTTTGGTTCAAAATGAACAATTTTAGTATGCAACATTTTTCTCCATCGATTATAATTTTATAGTTGTGACAAATTTATTAATATAAGTGTTCGATTTTGACATTTAGAAGATTAAGGGTGGGTTTCTAGAAAATGTAGACATCTACAATACATCCTTTTTATGGATTATCCTTTTTTGGTTCAAAATGACCAATTTTCATGTGCAACATTTTTCTCCATCGATTATAATTTTTGAGTTATCCCAAATTTAGTAATTAAGTGTTCCATTTTGACATTTAGAAGATTAAGGGTGGGTTTCTAGAAAATGTAGACATCTACAATACATCCTTTTTATGGATTATCCTTTCTTGGTTCAAAATGAACAATTTTCATATGCAACAGTTTTCTCCATCGATTATAATTTTTGAGTTATCACAAATTTAGTATTTAAGTGTTTGATTTTGATTTTTAGAAGATTAAGGGTTGGTTTCCAGAAAATTCAGTCATCTAGAATACATCTCTTTTATGAATTATCCTTTATTTGGTTCAAAATGAACAATTTTGGTGTGCAACATTTTTCGTTGTTGATCATAATTTTTGAAAAGAGAGATTTATTAATGTAAGTGTTCAATTTTCATACTTAGAAGATTATGGGTTAGTTTCCAGAAAATGCAGACATCTAGAATACATCTTTTTTATGGATTATCCTTTTTTGGTTCAAAATGAACAATTTTAGTATGCAACATTTTTCTCCATCGATTATAATTTTTGAGTTATCACAAATTTAGTAATTAAGTGTTCGATTTTGATATTTAGAAGATTAAGGGTTGGTTTCCAGAAAATACAGACATCTAGAATACATCTTTTTTATGGATTATCCTTTTTTGGTTCAAAATGAACAATTTTAGTATGCAACATTTTTCTCCATCGATTATAATTGTTGAGTTATCACAAATTTAGTAATTAAGTGTTCGATTTTGACATTTAGAAAATTATGGGTTAGTTTCTCAGAAAATGCAGACATCTAGAATACATCTTTTTTATGGATTATCCTTTTTTGGTTCAAAATGAACAATTTTAGTATGCAACATTTTCTCCATCGATTATAATTTTTGAGTTATCACAAATTTAGTAATTAAGTGTTCTATTTTGACATTTAGAAGATTATGTGTTAGTTTCCAGAAAATGCAGACATCTAGAATACATATTCTTTATCGATTATCCTTTTTTGGTTCAAAATGAACAATTTTCAAGTGCAATATTTTTCTCCATCGATTATAATTTTTGAGTTATCACAAATTTATTAACGTGAAGTGTTCGATTTTAACATTTAGAAAATTAAGGGTTGATTTCCAGAAAGTGCAGACATCTAGAATACATCTTTTCTATGGATTATCCTTTTTTAATTCAAAATGAACAATTTCATGTGCAACATTATTCTACATTGATTATAATTTTTGTGTTATCACAAATTTAGTAATTAAGTGTTCGATTTTGACATTTAAAAGATTAAGGGTTGGTTTCTAGAAAGTGCAGACATCTAGAATACATTTTTTCATGAATTATCCTTTTTTGGCTCAAAATGAACAATTTTCATTTGCAATATTTTTCTCTGTCGATTATAATTTTTGAGATGTCACAAATTTATTAATGTAAGTGTTGGATTTTGACATTTAGAGGATTAAGGGTTGGTTTCCAGAAAATGCAGACATCTAGAATACATCTTTTTTATGGATTATCCTTTTTTGGTTCAAAATAAACAATTTTAGTATGCAACATTTTTCTCCATCGATTATAATTGTTGAGTTATCACAAATTTAGTAATTAAGTGTTCGATTTTGACATTTAGAAAATTATGGGTTAGTTTCTCAGAAAATGCAGACATCTAGAATACATCTTTTTTATGGATTATCCTTTTTTGGTTCAAAATGAACAATTTTAGTATGCAACATTTTCTCCATCGATTATAATTTTTGAGTTATCACAAATTTAGTAATTAAGTGTTCGATTTTGACATTTAGAAGATTATGGGTTGGTTTCCAGAAAATACAGACATCTAGAATACATCTTTTTTATGGATTATCCTTTTTTGGTTCAAAATGAACAATTTTAGTATGCAACATTTTTCTCCATCGATTATAATTTTTGTGTTATCACAAATTTGGTAATTAAGAGTTCGATTTTGACATTTAGAAGATTAAGGGTTGGTTTCCAGAAAATGCAGACATCTAGAATGCATCTCTTTTATGAATTATCCTTTATTTGGTTCAAACTGAACAATTCAAGTGCAATATTTTTCTCCATCGATTATAATTTTTGAGTTATCACAAATTTATTAATGTGAAGTGTTCGATTTTAACATTTAGAAAATTAAGGGTTGATTTCCAGAAAGTGTAGACATCTAGAATACATCTTTTCTATGGATTATCCTTTTTTAGTTCAAAATGAACAATTTCATGTACAACATTATTCTCCATCGATTATAATTTTTGTGTTATCACAAATTTAGTAATTAAGTGTTCGATTTTGACATTTAAAAGATTAAGGATTGGTTTCTAGAAAGTGCAGACATCTAGAATACATTTTTTCATGAATTATCCTTGTTTGGCTCAAAATGAACAATTTTCATTTGCAATATTTTTCTCCATGGATTATAATTTTTGAGATGTCACAAATTTATTAATGTAAGTGTTGGATTTTGACATTTAGAGGATTAAGGGTTGGTTTCCAGAAAATGCAGACATCTAGAATACATCTTTTTTATGGATTATCCTTTTTTGGTTCAAAATAAACAATTTTCAAGTACAATATTTTTCTCCATAGATTATAATTTCTGAATTATCACAAATTTATTAATGTGAAGTGTTCGATTTTAACATTTAGAAGATTAAGGGTTGGTTTCCAGAAGATGCAGACATCTAGAATACATATTTTTTATGGATTATCGTTTTTTAGTTCAAAATGAACAATTTCATGTACAACATTATTCTCCATCGATTATAATTTTTGAGTTATCACAAATTTATTAATTAAGAGTTCGATTTTGACATTTAGAAGGTTAAGGGTTGGTTTCCAGAAAATGCAGACATCTAGAATACATCTTTTTTATGGATTATCGTTTTTTAGTTCAAAATGAACAATTTTATGTGCAACATTATTCTCCATCGATTATAATTTTTGAGTTATCACAAATTTATTAATTAAGATTTCGATTTTGACATTTAGAAGGTTAAGGGTTGGTTTCCAGAAAACGCAGACTAGAATACATCTTTCTTATGGATTATCCTTCTTTGGTTCAAAATGAACTATTTTGGTATGCAACATTTTTCTCTATCGATCCTGGTTTTTGAGTAGTGTCAGATACGTTTTTAACATTTAGAACATTTAGAATTAGCACAGTTTCGTCAAAAAGATGGATATTCTCGATCGTATCTTAATTTTGGATTAAAATTTTATCTCTTCACGCTCGCTAAAGAAAATAATATAGATGTTTGAGCTACTTTATGTTTTTATCTTTGTAGAAATAATAAATCAATTGATAAATTTAATAACGATTTATTGTAAACATAGTGTTTTTTGTATCATATTTAATGTCATACAAAAACGCAAAAAACATCTCTATAATAACACATTACCGTAAGGGGGACCTAAAAATTCGTTAATATAATTTATAATCGATTTGTATTTCTTTTTTTAATAATAATTATATCCAAAGATCCCGAAAGAATCGTTTACTTTTTTTAATTAATAATGGAATTGGTGTTCTGTACATTATTCTCATAGTTTTCCTTCTCATTATACCTCATAGTTTTTTTTTAATTCCTTATTCAGGCAACGTTACTTCTCTTCGCTTTTGATTCGGCTGTGAATAGCGCATTTTTTTTTATCATTATTTATTTTCTCGTTAAATCAAAACACGCCTTTCGTTTCCCTGCGTGTATTAACAACGAACTAGCGTTAAAAATAAAATTATCTATCTATCTAGTAACAATTCTTTTTGACCTTATAAACTTATATAAATATTTTTTTTTGTGATTTTCACTTAATAAGATTTTTTTTAACCTGTCTGAATTGTAATACGTAATAATTTAGCTAAGCGGGTTTAAAATCTATAACAATCCACCTCTTGTTCAAATTCTATTCGCATTTAACTAATAAAACAGATTAATTATGTGGATTCTTTATAGATTTTAAACGGATTTTCATTAAAAGATTGTCTCTTGCTTTTACCATTTCAGCACAGCGTTCTACAGTTTTCTCTTATTTATCTGCGGTTTTTTTTTAACTATTTAATTTTTATTTTCATTCATGGATTTATTAATTTTTTGTTGTTTTCACTTCACAACCTTACCGCTTTTCTTTAAGCTAAAATTACATCGATTAAGCTATTAAACACCTCGATAAAACGTGGCGATTTCTTTTGATGCTGAAATTTGACATTTATATAAAACGTTTGATTTTTTCACACCTTTCTTTTTTTTTGCTTTAAAGGTAATAATTTAAATTTACATAATTGACTTGACGATTTCACTTTTTGAGATAATTCATTGGTTAGAACGTTTTTTTTTTCATTTTTGAGGAAATAAAATAATTTTGATTTCGATTTATTATGTTGTTTTTTACGTTGAAGGCAAGAGTCGTTTATTAGCGTTGTTATTTTACTTAAATGCGATTTTTTAATCTAGAAGAAAATTGCAAGAAGTAATTTTTTTTAATTATGTTGATTCAAAAATTACTTCTTGATTAAATAAAATAAATTAAAATAAAATAAAGAGGATGTATCCGAAAAACACCGGCAAAATCTAAGAGATTATTAAAAATAAATTAAAGTTTAAAATTTTATCAATGTTTTCTAGCTACACCCTTCAGATAATACAGATTTTTTTTTAAATTACACAGTATTACAGAAAACGGTAGATACACGTCGCAAATCTTCTTTCTTAGAAGATATCTTTACTTTTATTTTTTAAGGAATTTAAAGTCCAGTTCCAACAGTAAACAGCGATTAATAATTTCTAAGGATCATAGTTCAACTATAAATTTTTAAGGGGGCTCCAGTTCTCTCTTCTACACGCACCTCTTTTTACTTTTATCTTTTACTAAAAAAAAGAAAACGTTTTTCGTTCTTTTGTTGCTCTTCCAATCACTAGAAATATTTAAATATAATTTAGTTCAGCTTAGGCTTAATTAAGACAATTTTGTTTTATTTTTAATCGTAGCACTAGAGCTCTGATTCTTCATTTGGGGGGCGCTAAGAAGGCTAAGCGTCGGTAGTGCTAATGGATTTAGTTGTTGTGGAAATCGAGATGGAAGTAATGATAGTGTTCGCGACGATGTTTTCGGGACGTCTTCGGCGTCGTGATGTCCGTAACGCGGCCGGTATTAGGAAGCGGAAACGCGCGCTCAGGCGACGCATCAGAGAGTCTCAGGTGTCCGGTGGAGCCCTCGGGTCGTCCGTATCCAGACTAAGGCACTCCTGAAAAAAGTCTTCCATCGAACGATAGACATGCTCCAATGCGCCCTCCAATAGGTGACCTTCATTTGCATAACTCTACAAAAATAAAAAAATCATTAAATATATATCTACATATAAAAGTAGTCTGTAAGATTTGGACAAAAGGATGTGAAGACAAATTTACAGAGGGGTTAAAATGGATAAATTGAAATGGATTAAGAAAATCCTAGTAGTAAACTCAGAATAAGTGTTGAACAGGAAGTTGACCAAAATATGGAACACAGAGAATTTCTGCTCCCAATCCTGCTTAATCACCTTCAAAGACTGTATAGAGAATGATTACCACAGATAGATACATCGAGCCGATTAATGTTTTGGAATGTGCATTACAAATTGGGTGAATATGGACCTTTAAGATGTACTAGATTTAACAAAAATTGAAGTATCGATAGTACAGATCGCCCCGCAGATTAATGTGCCCAAGATGTTAATGTTCCATATATTGCTTTGTTTATGGACGAGGCTTACTTCACGCAAGATGGTGTGTTCATCCAACACAAAGCGTATTTGTAGACTTGCAAAATTCACATGAAGGAAAACTGTATGTTGTTGTCCAACGTTATTTCGCAGTGAATTTGGTTGATCCTTGTCTATTGTTATCATCTCTGACATCAGCAAAATATGGCATCTTTTCGGTGAATTGGCAGGTTTGTTTACCGTGTACCACGAACTGTGAGAAGCAAAATATGGAAGATGAATTCTGACATAACTGAGTGTATCGAGGCTAGAGATGCTATAAACTAGTATTTTTGGGGAGCAGGTACAATATGTTCCTATTCCTAAAAAGTAATAGTTCCAAATACCTGTTACAACTGATTCTCCGTTCCTTTGTTCTGCTGTTCCTAGTGATATAGCATAAATCACAAAATGTCAAAATTGGACGATTTTTCTTAATAAAGTCAACTATAACGGATGTACTAAAACTGATGGAGAAAGACGTTATGAATAAAAACTATTCCTAATGCATCAATAAATCATAATCTAGAACTATTTCATATTTCTCTATTACCAGTTTCTAATGATATAGCATAAATCACAAAATGTCAAAATTGGACAATTTCTCCTAATAAAATCAAGTATAACTGAAGTACTAAAACTGATGGAGAATGACGTTATGAATAAAAAATATTCCTAATGCATCAAGAAATCATAATCTATACTTATTTCATGTTTATCTATCACCAGCTTCTAGTGAGATAGCATGAATCACAAAATGTCAAAATTGGACGATTTTTTTAATAAAATCAACTATAACGGAAGTACTAAAACTGATAGAGAAAGACGTTATGAATAGAAAATAATCTTAATGCATCAAGAAATCATAATCCATAATTAATTCATATTTATCTATCACCAGCTTCTAATGATATAGCATAAATCACAAAATGCCAAAATTGGAGGATTTCTCTTAATAAAATTAACTATAACGGAAGTACTAAAACTGATGGAGTTAGACGTTATGAATAAAAACTGTTCCTAATGCATCAATATATCATAATCAAGAATTTTTCATATTTATCTATCACCAGTTTTTAGTAGTATAGCATAAATCACAAAATGTCAATATTAGACGACTTTTCTTAATAAAATCAACTATAACGGAAGTATTAAAACTGATGGAGAAAAACGTTATGAATAAAAAATATTCCTAATGCATCAATAAATCATAATCCAGAATTATTTTATATTTATCTATCACCAGTTTCTAGTGATATAGCATAAATTTCCAAAATGTCAATATTTGACGATCTTTCTTGATAAAATCAACTATAACGGAAGTAGAAAAACTGATGGAGAAAGACGTTATGAATAAGAAATATTCTTAATGCATCAATAAATCATAATCCATAATTAATTCATATTTATCTATCACCAGTTCCTAGTGATATAGCATAAATCACAAAACGTCAAAATTGGACGATTTCTCTTAATAAAATCAACTATAAGGAAAGTACTAAAACTGATAGACGTTATGAATAAAAGATATTCTTAATGCACCATTAGATATGATATAATGCAAGTAACAACGCCATCTAAAACGTTACATAATAAAATCCAAACTTTAAACATTGATATTTAATACATTATTAAATTTGCTAAAATTACATTATAAATAACTCTTTATGGTTGCATTAATGAATGATTCGTTAAAATCAGCTTAAAGACGTTATGAATAAAAGATATTCTTAATGCATCATAAGATATGATATAATGCAAGTAACAAGCCATCTAAAATGTTACATAATAAAATCCAAACTTTAAACATTAATATTTAATACATTATTAAATTTGCTAAAATTACATTATAGATAACTCTTTATGGCTGCATTAATGAATGATTCGTTAAAGTCAGCTGCAATAATGAGCATGAGACTTGCATATTTTTTGCACATGGTAGATTTGAGGTATAAGAATAGATTCAGTACTTTCGGCATTAAGAGAAAGACAAACATTAATGATATTGGAGTTGATTGCAACCTAAGTTTGGTCGCTAATCATCAGCTAAGGCGCATAAATAGCAAAGTAATATTTTTGCAAAAAATGTCACTGCAATACCACTCCAAAAACTACCAAAATTTGCTAAATCGCCTTGTCATTTTGCTCGCAAGCATTCCAAAGAAATCTATTATCAAACGTTATGTTGCAAAGGTGCTTATTAACCTGAGAGGATCTTATAACTAACCATAAAGTTACGATGGGTTGGGTTTAAAACCTATACATCCTCTGAAAACTCAAATTACTGTTAATAACACAACAGGAGAGATAGGTAAAACATGTAAGGGAGAAAATAAGCAAGGTAGATTACGTATGCAGTACTTTTCTTAAGGCTGATACCCAACCACAAAGGTGCGACATCAGCTTGATAAAGTTGTCTCCCATATAAAGATTGATAAAGATTTCTTAATTTACGAAAAATCGTTTTATACATAATATGAAAAGATGTTAAAACAACTTTGTAGATACAAATTATAACGAATATGGTGAAACCAAGACGAGTGAAAGAGTACAAGGTTCCTTCTTGAGTTAGAAATATACTTTATTTCCCTTATTTAGCTCCTTGAATTAGTAGTACCGAAGAGATCAATATTAATATGCACACGACTTAGTTTGAAACTCGATTTGGAATTTTCAACACCCTAACTTAGTCATTCGAAGGTAACGTCAATGTCGGTCTCTTTAACAAGTTAACGTCACTCAGTACGTGCAAGCGTTCAGAGCGTTACCTGACTTGATTATGCAGGTGAAGTGATATCAACTTTTCACCGCAACATTTTCAATCATGCTTACGTGCAGACATCATGGATCACTTGCTTTTAAAGAAATAGCGAAACAATTTTTCATTCTGTGATTCTCAATGGTAGAGTTTTCCAAGATAAGATTTATCTCTTTATCGTTTGATAAAATAATTTGAATAGAGAGAATCGTCAATCAAACAAAGAAAAGAAATGAAAGTTATTAAATTAATCATTCAAAGCTGAAAGATTTAATCTGCAAATTGAGAATAATTTCAGCATATTGAAAATGAAATAAGATCGAGTTGATAATCTATTTATTACCCCATATCCTCCCTAACATAACCTAAATCCAATGCTTTCAGGTCAACTAAATGGGTATCTCATTCCCAAAGCCGGAAATTAAACGGCTACAATGCACTCGGAAAGCTTATGTTATCCTGAATAGGAATAGTCTACATTTCAAACGTGAAATACAATTAATTTTGACGTTTATTATTACTTGTAGTAATTGATTTATTTAATAAGTTATTTGTAATTACCTGATATCTGTATAAGATGTTGTTTTCAGTTAAGGCTCTGGTCATAGCAATACCATGTTGATATGGAGCTGTAATATCGGCGAGACCGTGAAGAATAAAAAGTGATTTTTGGGGAATGTTTTTCGCTCGTTGAGTAGCGTCCGATTCAACGTAGGCCTTATAATTTTCAGACGGTAGACCTAGTATTCGTTCGGTAAAGGCAGAATCTTAAAAATAAAATAAAATAAAGATTGTATAATATATTTAATCTAAACATAAACTCACTGTAATATAACCAGTCTGTTACAGGGCTAACCGCTATACCACACTTAAAGATTTTCTGTTGAGTACCCAAAACCATTGTGGTGACGTATCCCCCATATCCCCAACCCCAAAGTCCTACCCTCGATTGATCGAGGAACGAATAGATCTTGAGTAGCTCGTTTAACACCGCGATCTGATCTTGCACTTCGACTCCGCCCAAGTGTCTATACAAAGCTCTGTTGCTTTGGCCACGCGAACCTCTCACGTCAAGTCTTATGTACACTACATCACAGTGGCTCGACATGTACGTGCCCCAGTCGATTTTAAATTTTTCTGTTACCGCCTTACTACCAGGCCGACCATTTCTAAATAAAAATCCAAATTTAAATCATCTCTTTTTACGATTAATTACACTACTCTACAAAAAAAAAATCATAAAAGTACATTTGGATACGTTTTGGAGCTATTTATTTACTATTTGCAGTATATCTCGAGTTAGAGATGACCGATCTGGGCGGGCTATTCATCAAATTAAAGAGTATTGCATAGCAAATAAATGGTATTAATACTTATTCCAATCGGTTCGGTAGTTTTAAAATAATGGCCCATAATATGTGGAAAAGGGATTTTTTTTTAGACAAAATGTGAACCAAATATTCATTTAATATTTGTGGAGAGTCGCAGAAAAATTCTTTTTTACCTTCTACGTAAAGTTTGCTCTTTTAAGAAGACAACAAGGTACGCAGGATGAGAATCTATGGAGAAATTACCAAAAATTATGATCTTCTGTACAAGGTGTTTTAAAACAACGTTTAAATATTTATTGCTACAGTAGAAAACAAGTCAAAAAGTGTCAATCAACATGGGTCCGAAAATCAACCGTTTTCGAGATACAGGGTGTTCAAATTTTTTGGGACTCTACGTTTTTTCTTTTAAACTGTAACTACTACAGATTTGATAATTGGCAAAACGATACAGTATGAAACTGTCTCTTTTTGAGAGTAGTATGATGTTTCCATTGCTTCCAGTTAGTATAAGTTATTCTATTACAAAACGTTATGCCATTAGTTACCAAAATTCGGCCATTACAAGGCTTTACCTTACGTACAATCTGCTAACATACATTAATTTGACGTTTCGTTCAAATTACGAAATAACCAAACTCTAGTAATTTGATTTTGCGGAACCTGAAGTGAAATCGTATGCAATGGTCTTGTATTCAAATGCTGAAATGAGCGATATGGTGTTTATGTACGGCCGTGCCAATGGAAATAGTTTGAGAGCACATCGTTTCTATGCTGAACTATTTCCCAATCGCCGGCTAACAGGGTTGTCAGACAATTCGTGAAAACTACGGGCTATTTGAAAGAGTTCGGGCTTCCTTTGAACGTAGAATGAGAAACTGTATTGATGTTGCTGGTCGTCATTTTGAACATCTTCAGTAGAAAGCTTCGTTTTGATTAGTATTAGTATTATGTTGTGTCAATTCAATTTTTCTAATAATTTATTTTTAAAAATCTTTTCTTTTTCGGAAACCTTAAGGAGTACAATTAATTGTTAAATAAAATTTTTGAATTTTCTGAAAAATAGTGGTATTTATTTTCACTTCCGGTCTAACCAGAAGCAATGGAAACATCATACTATTCTCAAAAAGAAACAGTTTTATACTGTATCGATTTGCTAAGTATCAAATCTGTAGTAGTTATAGTTTAAAAGAAAAAACGTAGAGTCCCAAAAAATTTGAACATTCTGTATCTCGAAAACGGTTGATTTTCGGACCCATGTTGATTGACACTTTTCGACTGTAGTACTACCCCTATAAATATTTAAACGTTGTTTTAAAACACCCTGTATGTGATAGCACAGGTTTTTCTTTACATGAAATTCCGCGCAACTAGACCGTTAGAAATTTTTAGGTTTCACGTTTCGTACGTTTCTGAGATTTTACGTGTAGGAGCTATTCATCCCAATCTTTCGATTTAGAATAATTTCAAGATGGCTGCCACATCCAGTGTACCGGAAGTAGCCTACAACTTTGTTATTTTAAACGGAATGCTGCAATTTTTATTGGATATTTGAATCGAAAAACAGTTTTGTTTAATCAAAAATCACTATACAAAATTCACTCAAACGCCTTGGAGAGTCGTAAAAATTCCGTCTTATTTATTATTTATACAATCAGGACAATTTATACGATAGACGCTACAATCAAAAACGTTTTCTTTCATTTTAAAGTTTGATAAGGTACAGGGTGCGGCAAAACTCCCTCCCTAATTTGAAGGTTCAATAAAAAACAGATGGTAAAAATTAACGAAACTGTATTAACCCGAATCGAATCTACAGAATGGGAAGTTACGTTATTATGGTTTACAAGTTTCTTTCTTTGAACAGTATATTGCTCAACTGTTTTCCTTCGTTATCAATGCATTGGCGAATGCGAGTTCGGAAGTAACCGTTATTGGAGTGCACAAAAGTCTCGGGAACTCCATGAAAAGCCTCTGCATAGTATGCGTGTTACCGTGTGGTGAGTGATTAACAGTGTTGGGATCATCGGCCCGTACTTTTTTGAAGAAGGAGAAGTGACAGTGGCCGCTAACTCGGATCGATACATTCTAATGCTTCAAACTTCTATGGCACCACGATTCAATGCGATACAGATTCAACAGGATGAGTGGCTTCAGCAGAACGGGGCCACTGCTCACACAAACAGGAGATCTCTTCAAGAACTGAGGGAACTGTTCCCAGAACGCTTGATGTTTTTGCGCGGAAACATCCACTGGCCAGTACGATCTCCAGACCTAACTCCCTGTAATTTTGGTGTATGGGGGTTTCTTAAGGCTGAAGTTTACAAACATCGTCCGAGGACTCTGCCAGCCCTACGACAAACGATTCAAGAAGAGATTGCTCGTATTCCTCAAGAAATGTTGATTAGAGTAATGGTGAACTTTCGAACTCGCATTCGGCAATCCATTGATAACGAAGGAAAACACTTGAGCGATATACTGTTCAAAAAACGAAACTTGTAAAACATAATAACATAACTTCCCATTCTGCAGATTCCATTCATGTTAATACAGTTTCGTTAATTTGTACCATCTGTTTTTTATTCAAGTTTCAAATTAGGGAGGAAGTTTTGCCGCACCCTGTATTAATAATTTGAAAATTGTTTTTAAAACTAACATTAACATTGAATCTATGTAAATTTTTTTTTTATTTTTCAGTTTAAGGGGTTAAAAGGTGAACGATAAATGTACGTATTCTCAGAATTTTTATCATAAAGAGGGTCATTCTTGAGAATTGCAGTTGTTAAGAGATTGTCAATGAAGTACGTTTTATAACCATTATTAGAGCCTAGATTGTATAAAAAGGCTAACTCTTTCTGGGTTGAAACAAAATCCAGAGGATAACTACCGTCCGAGAAGATGCTGGATCTCCGTATGGTTCGTAAATGGCGTACAGACTACGATTACCTGTGTCAACTGGTGGACCAAGGAAATGAGAAAAAACGCAGAGTTGGATCAGGTCGGCAATCGTTATTTTCTGAGTTGGAAGATTGCATCTGGGAATGGATTGCAGGCAGGAGAGCAATGGCTTTGGTTGTGCGCAGGGCTGATATTCAAAAATTTGCCCTTGAAACAGCAATTGAATTTGATATATCCACAGAAGAATTTAAAGCATCGTCACACTGGTTGGACAACTTCCTTAAACGATATGAACTGTCTCTAAGGAGATCAACAACATTGTTTAAGCTGGAAGACAATGAAGTTGTTAAGCGTGCCAACTGAAATACCAACTCTCCAACATGATTGCTATGGATGAGACCGCGGTATTCCTAGGCCAAGGAGCTCAAACGACAGTTCACCACAAGGCTTCTTCGTCAATTTACGTTCCTTCTACTGGTTACGATAGTGACACGTACACTATCGTACCTGTATTTTGGTGATTCGTCTAGATGGCAAGAAAGTATCGCCATTTTTAATCACTAAAGGTAAAAAAGACCAGGTTCAACGTGTTTCAGGAATTTATGTCATTGAAAGTGAAAAAGTCTGGTGCACCCAAGCAGTTATAAGAAAGTGGGTTGATTTTATGATGCCAGTACTCACCGTGCTAAAGACATGAAAAACTTTCTTGCTGAGAGGAAGATTGATCAAATAATGATTCCGGCAGGAATGACTGGTTAGCTCCAGACACTTGACATTGCAATAAACAATCCATTCAAGGATCATTTGCGAATGGAAATCAATTGAAAACAGAATGGTGAGAAATCATCGAGGTAATTTTGTAAAGCCAGGCTTACAAGAAGTTGTGAATTGGGTAAAAAATTCATGGGACAAAATAACTGATAATGATGTTTCCAATGCACTACGAAAGGGCTACTTAGACAAGAAGTATTCATTTAACGATAGCTATATCGCAAGACATGAGAGATTCGGACCAATGATTCAATAGGAAATGGATTTGGAAGAAAATCAGAATATAATTCAGAATTTTATTTATGACGATGTTCCAGAAGAAGATGACATGACTGTAATTGAATAAATTAAAATTTCTGTATTCTGTGTAAAATAAATATTAAATAAAAATATATAAATATACTTTTATTTTTGCCTTCCCCCGAAAATAAGCCCAAGCGCGTATTTTGGACCAAAAAAGAAAGTAAAAAGACGGTAACAAGTCTGTGGATGTATGAGCGGAAGGCAGCTTTTTTTATGATTGGAAGGATGATAAGATTCAAAAGGAATTATAGTATTCAAGGATGTAGGATTCCTAAAAATATCAAAACTGAAATTGTGATTATTTCTAGTGATGGTCAAGTCAAGGAAATTGAGTTTGTTATTATTTTCAACTTCGATGGTGAAATTCAATTTTTCCTGTAGATTGTTCATATAATCAAGAGCGTTATGTAATTCGTTAATGTCACCTCTCCAAACACAAAAAATATCATCGACGTACCTTACCCATTTCAAGACATAACTGTGAAAGGGTATTCAAATAAATATCAGCTATGATGCCGGCTATAGAAAGTCCCATGGGAAGGACTTGTTCTAGTTTATAAATATTATTATCAAAACGACAATAATTTTGTTTAACAATGTGCAGAATAATAGTAGTAAAATCGTTGGCTATACTTATGTCGTCATAATGTTCTAAAAAGATTTTGTTGATGATATCCATTGATAGGTTGGTGTCTACATTGGTGTATAAATTGGTAACGTCAAATGATACTAAAATAGAATTACTGAATTACTGATGTCTATTTGAACAGATGAGTTTTTTGACTTTTTATAGAACTTTTAGGATTTTTTGACTGTAAGTTTTTTTATGTTTTGTTTTTATTTATCTGGTTCTTTTTGTGATTTGTAAATTTTTGTTTAATAGATTTGGCTGAGGATGGTTAATGATTTTAACCAAAACTAGTCCCAAGTAAATAAATATAAAATTTTCTCAGAGGAATTTGAGGCCTTTTCAATTTTTTTTGGTTTTTAATAAACCTTTTTAAATACCACTAATTGCCAAATGTGTGTTAAGACTATCTAAATTTCATTCAGTTGAAAAAATTTGGTGTCAAATGTACATTTTATGAATTTTTTTTGTAAACTAGTATTATCCTTACACTTCGACTAATACTGGGTAAGCGGCGTCCCTGAGTTCTTCACGCCAGCTCGGCGGTAACAATAGTTGAACTTGCGCCCTACTACCTTGGGGCAAAGGCACCTCGAGAGATCTTTGCTTGGGCAATGCGATTTGCCGTAGTTGCGGTCCTTGTTGTGGCCTCGTGTCGTACAGGATCCGCAGTAGTTTATGGTTTGAGGCGTTATGCACGCCAGCTAATGGAAGACCGGGTCCCTCGCATTGGAGGACATAGTACAACATGCCCGAACTTGTTTGAGGACTTATCTAAATCCCAATGGTAAATAATTAAAGTCATTTTAATATAATTAAAATTTAAAAATAAAAAATACTTACAAGTGCGTTAAAATGAGTGCAATTGCTATAATAATATCTGCTGCTCCATAAAAATGTACCTAAATCGCACGTTATGCAATACGGTTCCGTTTTGTTTATCACGTAAAAGTGTCTTTGTCCGGGTTTGTGTTCTTCGCTCGCCAAGTAATAACTGGAAAAAAGATATCAATCTCCTATGAAACTAATCCACTAAAGTAGGAAAACCTTTTTCCATTAAAATTTGTTCGCATAAATAAAACCGGTATCGAGAAGTGAAATTTCACGGGGGAGGCAATCGTAAAAATGTTAAAAACCGAGTTCTAGGGAGCAGCTTCGATACCGTTAAGATATATAGGTAACTTCCTACCGTTCGGAATCTGGGTCAATCCGAAATTTAAGACTTCCTGCACGATTTAACTAACAAATCGACCGGTCCAGGTACCGTTTATTTATTCCCCCAAAACTCGGGAACTCCTAACGAGCCGGCATTACTCCTGCGGTCGTTTCGGCCGTAACACCTGCTCCTGAAGGAAAAGGGGACCTATACTTACACCAGCTGGCGAACACTATCCCAAGCCAATATGTTCGTGACCTCGTACTTCCCGTGGCTGAGGATCGAAATCCTCTGCTGGGTGAGGGTTATGTGCTTTATATGGGTGAAGATCTCGGTGGCACCCTCTTGAACGGCCGCCAGGAACAGGAAGCTATCCCCATCGGGAGAAAATAGCGGATGTTCTTGAATATCGAGCCAGTTGTCTTCCGTAGCTCGTTCAACATGAGTCTATAAAATAAACAAAAAATAGAAAATACGAAATAACACTAGTTTACAAGAAAAATCTTGAAGGCTGTGATATTTTTTTTATAACGCAGAATGTTGTGCTGATTCTGAAACTGTTTTCAGTTTTTGAGATATACCCAAAAATGTGGAAAATCGTAAATTAAAAAACATAGTAACGGTTCATGTTTAGTATATTTTTTATTTTGCATAGTTTGTAGCTATATGGACTTGAAAGTAGAGATCCAGACGAATATTTTGAGGTATTGATGGCATAAATCGGACTCTCCGTTATTTTGCTACAGCCTAAAACAACTCAACAAAATCAAATTTTTTGGTATTTTTCCCATTTTTTTATCATTTAATCGCACCTTAATGAAAAAGAATTATATGTGAACAAAAAAGTTAGCTATTCTATCCTGTAGAACATTTAATTCTCTAAATTTCGAAGCATTGGACACCATGGTCGAACGTATTTTACCGGAGATGTCGTTAATTTACGACAATCGTGCAAAATTTCTTTTTTTTCCATTTTCACCTTATTGTTGAAACATTATTACGAACAATTTTTTTTAATAAAGAGGTATTTTAACTGTTCCAGGCAC